ATCTTTCTGATATAATTCCTCTGTGTATTCTTGCCACCTCTTCTTGATGTCTTCTGCTTCTGTTGGGTCCCTCCCATTTTTGTCCTTTATCATGTCCATCTTTGCACAAAATGTTCCTCTAATATCTCCAGTTTTCCCGAACAGATCTCTGGTTTTTCCTTTTCTGTTATTTTCCTCTATTTCTTTGCATTATTTATTTAAGAAGGCCCTCTTGTCTCTCCTTGCTATTCTTTGGAAGTCTGCATTCAATTTTCTGTAACTTTCCCTATCTCCTTTGCATTTTGTTTCCCTTCTCCTCTCTGCTATTTGTAAGGTTTCCTTGGACAGCCACTTTGCTTTCTTGCATTTCCTTTTTTGGGGGATGGTTTTTGTTGCTGCCTCCTGTACAATGTTACGAGCCTCTTCAGGCACTCTGTCCACCAAATCTAGTTCCTTAAATCTGTTCTTCACTTCCACTGTGTATTCATAAGGGATTTGGTTTAGATTATACCTGAGTGGCCCAGTGGTTTTTCCTTCTCTCTTCAGTTTAAGCTTGAATTTTGCTATGAGAAGCTGATGATCAGAGCCGCAGTCAGTTCCAGGTCTTGTTTTTGCTGACTGTATAGAGCTTCTCCATCTCTGGCTGCAGAGAATATAATCAATCTGTTTTCGATATTGCCCATCTGGTGATGTCCATGTATAGAGTTGCCTCTTGTGTTGTTGGAAAAGAGTGTTTGTGATGACCAGCTTGTTCTCTTGACAAAACTCTATTAGCCTTTGCCCTGCTTCATTCTGACTGTTTATAATGTCAGGCAAACCTCAGATTATTTGAATCAACAGATTTAGGCACACTGAAGTGCATAGAGTTGGCCTGCCTTTTTGTTTTTTTTTAATAAAGGGGAATTCTAATTTTGTTCTGTACCTGTTGATAGCTGCACAAATATTATTGCTAAAGTGTAGAGGAAAACATGCATATTAAATACTGCTGTTTAGTACAGTAATTGAATTCTTTTTCTAGTAACAGCCAGGAATTTCATGATCAATCCTGTAATACATGCTATTATATTAATGTTCTTTTTTGCCCAGTTTTACAGCTTGGATCTTTTATGGGATAACTGTTACAGGCCTTTTGTGTTTAAAAATTAAAAAACCAGAATTACCACGATCTTATAAGGTGAGTTTTCAACAATAAAATTGTTTTCTTACTTTTACAGAAAAAAAATTGAAGAAATGTTCAAAAATTGTTAAAAATGTAATAAATGTTATTTCTGTATAAGTGCATTCAAATCTAACCAGTGAAAATTTAACCCATTAGTTTTTACTATATATCCAGTACGTTCGTGTGTGTGTGTGTGTGTGTATGTATGTATGTATATATATCTATGTATATACAGTGGTGCCTCGCATAGCGAACGCTTCGGTATGCGATGAAACCGCACAACGAGGGGTCCCGGGCCATCGCTGGAGCGTTCGCTCAGCGATGGCCCCTATGGGCTTTTTTCGCTATGCGATGATCACGCGGACGCGATCAAAGCATAGCGAACAGCTGATCGGCAGTTCCGAAATGGCCGCCGCTAAAACAAAATGGCGACCGCTGTTTTGCCTCGCTAACGAGGCATCCAAAATGGCCGCCATAATGGAGGAAACTCGCAGAACGGTGAGTTTTAAGTCCATAGGAACGTATTAAATCAGTTTTAATACGGTCCTATGGGCTTTTTTATTTCACTTAACGATGGATTCGCTGAGCAAGGGTTAATCCGGAACGGATTAACCTCGCTAAGCGAGGCACCACTGTATATGTATGTATATGTGTATGTATATATGTGTGTGTGTGTGTGTGTATATAGATAAACAGACAGACAGAGAGACAGACAGACACACACACACACACACATACACACACACGAGTAATGCATTTTGCTATCACTTTGACTGAAATTCAGTTGCTTAGTGTAGTCCTGTTGAATCACTGGGGATTTGGTGAGTCAACTATTCCATAAATTCTATTGAGTCAAACTGACCTACTCACATTGCGACTTACTACACTAAAGTAAGCTCATTTGAGTTAAAGGAACTTACCAAGGAATGGACTCACCAAATCCCTATTGATACATTATGCCTGCTCTACTGTGACTTAATGTGCTAAGCAACAGGGCTTCAGCCTTCGAGTGTGGTAGGGTTACCACACATTTCTTCAGGCCCATGGGAAAAACTTCCTTGGGGTAGAAGTTACTTTTATAGTTGGCCAGACATTTTATAGTTGGCCAGACATTCAAAGTCTGATGACCTCCATACCCAAAAGGAATACATCTAAAGGAGAACAGGCAGTGCTTAGTAGATTTTCCACACATTGCACACACACACATGAAGTTACACATGTGAATACATGTTTTTACATATGTTATATATAATGTACTTAATTTTGTATTTTGTTAACATTCCTTATTTTGAGTAACATTTTTCGTATGAAAGGGCCCCATGAGTGCACTAAGATTTAAGCATTTGTTATGGTAAAGAACATTAATTTAAACTCATTAAAGATGATCTCATCATTTTCTCCAGGGTCATTGGGACATAATTTAAGATTAAATGACATTAATTAAATATTACATTTAATCAGTTATAGAATACATTTACCATATTTTTCCATGTATAAGATGCCCCCATGTGTAACACCTCCTCCCACACTTTTCTTGTGAGGAAAGTGCTTTCCTCCTCCACTTTCCTCACAAGAAAACAATTAATTGTGAGGAAAGTGGAGAGGGAAAGCAGTAATCACTTTGTTGAATCGCTTTGATGATTCCTACTTTCCCCCTCCAGTTTCTTCCGAAGAAAGAAAGCGCTTTCTTCCAAAGAAAGTGGAGGGGGAAAGCAAATCACTTTCTTGCAAGGAAAGTGATTTGCCCCCTCCAGTTTCCTCGCAAGAAAGTGCTTTCCCCCTTTACTTTCTTTGCAAAAAGTGGAGGGGAAAAGCAGGGATCAAAGCGCTTTGATCCCTCCCCCTCCTTACTTCCGTGTATAAGACAACCCTAAATTTTTAATCTAAATATTTTAGACAAAATTATCATCTTATACACAGAAAAATACAGAAAAATCTCAGTTTTGAGAACCAGGATCTTCAATCTTAATCTTAGAACTGCAGAGCTGGAAGGAACCTTCTGGGTCATCAAGTCCAACCCTTATCAAGGAGGTCCAGTAGGAAACTGAACTTCCAGCCTCTGTAAACCACTGAGCTGTCTAGCAATCAGACTTGCTTACTGTTGAAGAAGAAACCCCAGGAAACAAAAGAAAAGGCAGGCAGGCTTGATTGCTTGGTCAGCTGAAGAGAAAGGAACAGAAAGCTACTGGTAATACCCGCCCCGAGTAGACATGGTCTAGAGAGGCGGGGTATAAATTTAATAAATAAATAAATAAATAATTAAATAAAGGGTTCATTTTTCCATAGACACCAGCAGCACCTTCAGTCAACACAGACTTAGTGAATTAGGAAGCACTCTGCTGCTGCATTTCAAATTTCAACTCAGAATTTTGAATTAAGAAATTCTGGGGGACACGGAGGGCTACAGAAAAGCACTTAGGTCTGCATACATTCCATAGATAACACTTTTCCCAACCCTGCTTTAAGGTCTTCATGCCTCTTATTTTCAAGTTTTCTAGTTAACGGTAGCCTGAGGCTTCTAGGGGAGGTGTAGCCTTCTACGTGTTTGCTTGACTCTTGCTCTTTATGCCTCATGTCATCAGTGACTCCAACTACTTGAAACCAGGAAGTGGATACCTCATTAAGGTCCCTACTAGACATGGTATGGGAGAAAAAGGAACAAGAACTCTCTCTCTCTCTCTCTCTCACACACACACACACACACACACACACACACACACACACACACACAGAGAGAGAGAGAGAGAGAGAGAGAGAGAGAGAGAGAGATGTTCTTTTCGGCTCTCTGTTGCTTTATTTGGAAAAAAAGGGATGTGTGTTTGTCAACTGTTTGCTCCTTTTAAGATCTAGCCCTCCCCCACCCAAAATATGTGTTTTGTCTGAACAGTATTATTACATATTTTTTCCCCTTTTTTAAACCACCCATGGAATGTGTATTGATTTGCAGCCACATAATTCTAGTTGATATCAACAGCCATCGCAGTGGTGAAGTTATTAGTCTATGCAACGCTCTATACATAAATCACCTGTAGGGTTGAAACAAGAACATGTTGCAGTTTGGAATTTTTGGTTAAATTTCTCTAGCTACAGAGCAGATGTGCAGGGATTCACAGAGCAATATAGCTACCCCCTTTTTTCATCAACTGGCATTTACGATCTCAATAAGTGCCAGTTGATGGCACTTATTGAGACATCAGTAAGAGAAAGAATAAAAGGTTTCATGACTTACAATTGAACAGGTCAAGCAGCAAACTGACAAACATGACTGCTTTCAACAATAGATTTCAATAGTCTCCCTACTTTTAACAGACAAAAGAGGAGGGATAAAAGAAAGAAGAGAGAGTCAGGGCTCTCTTTGAAATCAGAGTGAGAGAAGGAATGATTGGTTAGTACTATAAAAATTGATAGTCAGCCCAGCCCGGAAAGGTCCCTCCCAGCCAAACCTACTAAAGGCAGCATGCAAGATTGGAAAAACTCCAACAGAACAGACCGCCCAGTTTTACTGAGGCTTTTTGATAATTATTCACTGTATTTCCTGTTTGTAGGCTCTAAGTGTAATTTGCTTTTATAGCCAAGTTGGCACCATCTCCATATAAGTGGGAAGAATGAGGAAATTTGGGTAAACCCCAAGATTTATAAGTGTTCAAAAGTATGGTCCCAAGATGTCCCCTGACAAATGACCCCTTCCCCTCAAAATTAATCCATGGTCAGGCATTCCAAGGCCACCATATTGGGACAGAAGAAGGGAGACATGAGAGAAAGGGAACAAAATGGAGTCTTATTGACTCCTTAAACCAGCAGGGCTCCCTGGAACAACTATTCCTTGGAGGCTGCACCTGTTTAATCAGCTGTGAGTTCTCTTGCTAAGCTACTTTTTGACTCAGGTACATGAGGCAGCTGGAACTACATTTAGAGACACCTCACATGCCTGCTGCCACTGGCTACCTATGAGTTCCTCTTGAGTACATGGGCTGCATTAACATAACTTCTCTTTCCACAGGTCCCCATACTCATACCTGTGCTTTTCCTGCTGATGTCTGTATATCTGGTGCTGGCACCCATCATAGACCAGCCTCAGATTGAGTTCCTCTACGTCATCTTGTTTGTTTTCAGTGGTGTCATCTTTTATTTCCCCCTCGTCCATTACAAGTGTCACCCCACATGCTTAAAGAGGCTCACTTTGCACCTTCAGCTACTTCTGGAAGTTGCCCCAACAGAAAGGGATATGAACTGATCAAATATTTGCATGGTTGCTATGAGAGGAGCACAGAGCACCTCTCCCCTTGTGTACGTCTTACCTGAACCAGGAAAAAAGTTTCTTTCGTCATCCAGATGCTTTGGTCTCCCTTTGTCTCCCATCAGCCCCACCAAGGACGGCCGAAGAAAAGGGATGATAAGATTTGACGTCTGGAACTTCTGGAGGGTCAAATGTTGCCAGTCTATGGGGAATATATGAGTACATCATGAATTCAAAATTATGGAAGCAGCCTTAGGTAGATCTAACTGGTGCTCCTGTTGAGGCTCTGGCTAATGGCTGCTTTACATCCGCCACCAGGGCTGTAGACACGATCGCTCCTAAATGCCCTCTGCAATGCAGAGCTCGGCCTGCGTCCTGGTTTAATTAGGAGCTACGAGCAGTGAAGCAAAATAGGAGAAGGCTAGAGTGCATATGGAGACAGAAACTGACGGATCACAATAAGGTAGCTGTCAGGGTCGCGACTAACTGTTATCGTGCTAAGATAAGGGTTGCTAGTCAAGCTCAATTCGCTAACTGGATAAGCGAGGCTTCAAATCAGCAGGCGGAACTTTTCCGTATAGTCAGCCACCCGACCAATTTGCAGCATTCTTTAAATCTAAAGTGGAGGCCGTCTGCCGGGAGCTCTCTCCTTTTTTGGATACAGTGGATTGAGCAGAAATGTCCAGCGCTCCACCTTGCCTGGTAAGTTTCGATCTCTTTCAGCCTGTGATGCCAGATATTGTAGACAAAGCGCTTGAGGGCAGGGAGGATACTCATTAGGCCCATAAGAAAGAAACCTAATTTGGTGGCGGACGATATTGGCAACTATTGGCCCATCGCCAATGTTTCTTTCATTAGTAAAGTAGTCGAGAGAGTGGTGGCCGATCAGCTTCAGGCACATTTGAATGAAAAAATGCCCTGGATCTGTTCCAGTCAGGCTTCAGACCGTGCCATGGTACAGAAACGGCATTGGTTGCCCTGGGAAATGACCTATTGAGGGAGGCCGATGGGGGGAAACGTCTGTGTTGGTCGTCCTCAATATCTCAGCCGCCTTTGATACCGTCGACCATGGTATCCTTCTGAGGAGGCTCTCCGAGCTGGGAATTGGTGGCCTGGCATTGGCCTGGTTCCGATCCTTCTTGGAGGACCACTCTCTGAGAGTTCAGCTTGGGGAGAGGGATTCAGCCCTGTGGAGCTTCAATTGTGGAGTTTCGCAGGGCTCAACTATCTCCCCAATGCTGTTTTATATCTATATGAGGACGCTGGGAGAGGTTATCAGCGGGTGTGGGGCATTGTGCCATCAGTATGCTGATGACACTCTGCTCTACATCTTTTTTCCAACTACAGTGAATACTGTTCTGTCCCTTCAGCACTGTCTGGAGTCTGTACTGCAATGGATGCAGGAAATGGGCTGAGGCTGAACCCGGACAAGATGGAGGTCCTAAGGGTGGGTGGACCGTCAGCAGTTTGGGAAACTCCCTCTCTTTTTGGGGGGGGGGTGACTCTCACTGCAAAGAGTGAGTTTCACAGCTTGGGGATACATCTAGACCCGGCGCTCACCATGGAAACTCAGGTGGCGTCAGTAGTCCGTACCACCTATTTCCATCTTTGGCAGATTGCCTGGCTGTGTCCCTTTCTTGACGTGGGGGAACTCACCACCTTGGTCCATGCGCTCGAGATTAGACCACTGTAATGCACTCTACGTGGGACTACCTTTGAGATTGATGCGGAAACTCCAAATGGTGCAGAATGCAGCGGCCAGACTTCTTAGTGGGGTTAGGAAACATCAACATATCACTCCCACTCTGGCTGCACTGCACTGGCTGCACGTTCGATTCTGCGTTGATTCCAAAGTTTTAATGATCACATACAAAGCCCTAAGGGTTTAGGACCTCAATACTTGGCGGAACACCTCCTCCCACCTAGATCTACCTGTACCACCCGATCTAGCCAGGAGGGGCGACTGAGGAGCCTAACATCGAGGGAGGCCCAGAAAGAAAAAAGAAGACACTGGGCCTTCTCAGCAGTGGTTCCCAGTCTCTGGAACAAACTCCCCCCACACCCCGAGATCTGTTTGGCTCCCTTGCTGGGCATTTTTAAAAACCAACTCAAGACCTGGTTATATAGACAGGCCTTCCCTCCGGGCATTACTTAACTTGGTTCTTCTCTTCCTCTATTTTTAACTATCGTCCATTGTGTAAATGTTTCAAATTGTCATTATATATTAATTGTTTTTACTCTGTGTTTTGTGAGCCGCCCAGAGTAGACTATATCTAAACGGGAGTCATGTAAGTCAAATAAATAAATAAATAAATAGGTATTTCTGAGATGTGCCTTTTCAGTTCTGGAGTGTGTACCATCTCCAGGATGGACAAAATATAGACCATAACAACTTGCTTCCCATGAAGTTAATAATGCATATATAGAATCCACGTCAAGTCCCACAGTTGAGTTCAAGGGAATATTTCAGATATCATGGCTTTCTATTGTTCTACTGGAGTCGATTCAGGTGTTACTATACAAATCAAATCCATTTTAAAATGTATATACTGTATAGGAAAAATTTTAAAGTCACATTTAAATAAAACAAGTCTTTTTAAAGAAAGGGGTGGAAATCCTATTAGTTAAGCCTATGAGTGTCATGCAAACAGCATAACATTTGGAGAGGAATGGCTCAAAGTAATAAAAGCAGCACAGACATTATCTGTTGTGTGCTGGGTTGCATGATTCAACACACAACAAATATTGTCTACCCTGAATTTGTCCTTGCGGCAATTCCCCTTCTCCCCCAAAGTTACCCCATTTGCCTCTTGAAGGCATAAAACAATAGGATTTTAGTCATTGTTTACTACATTTTAATATGAGCACTAGGGTGGACTAGACTGACTTCCAAAGAGGATGTTGGGAGGGTCTCTCATGTCACATGGCAATAACAATTTTACTCCTATTGTGACAACTTCTCAGTTCATCCTACATAAAAATAATGCAATATGGCTGCAATTCCATAGATCCATTTTCTGGGAGTAAGTCCATTGATCTTAATAGGATGTCTAAGTAGACAAATATAGGATGCCTGAAACCGTGAATGTGAGGGAATCTAGGCAAAGGATCAGGACAAAGGCCACAAGGGGTCATCCTTGTATGTTGTATATAGGGATGTGGCAAACTGCAGATAGTGAAACTGTGGAGTCCGTTCCCATAGATACTGTTGGAGTTATAGCATTTATATAGGCCTTCAAGAGGTTTGGATGGAAGGGAGTTTGGAATGATTATCACTCACATAGTAGCAGTCAGTTATTCTCCCTATACCTCACATTTCTTTCCCCTCCTTTTTCTAGTCAGGGTTCTGTGTCAATTAGCAATCTCAGTGTTCCCGGTGTGTGAAGAGTTTGACAGTTATGGAGTCAGCAGTTACGAGTCTGTGTGAAGTGTTTATGTAACAAGTCAGTTAGTCAAATAATGAAGTTAGCCAGCTAAGATCTCATACTGTGTAAAAAGTAAATATGTTTATTTGTTATGTTGGTATATATGAAGATTTATGAGTAAAACAGAAACATATTTTATTGTTTCTCAACACCAGAGTCACAGACTGAACCTTTGAAACTATATTGCCAATTGAGGTAAAACTAATTAACAATGAGAAGTGGTACATATGTGGGAGACATCCAGTTATAATAATCTGCTCTGTAGGTCAAAGTCAGGACTTTTCTCTCTCTCTGCAACATAGCTGGAGGTTTTAAATCAGTTTCCACACTCTGCTAATAGATATGGGAGTTTTACTGTAGTTATAAGAAGTATCCTGGAATTTTCATAATAAAGTCCCTCAAGTTCTCCAAATTGTATCATATAACTCAAATCAGTGAGTCTGACAAGTGCTAGAGGCAGGGCCTTTACATGATGGTTCTTTTCCAATCTATTTCCCTCATGTGACTTAGGCGTCTGGCCCATCTGTGTCTGCTTTTAAATGCTTTTTTAAAAAAATTTATTCTTCCAGGACTTTAACTGAATGTTCTGTTGATGGATATTTTGAAATTTCACAGTAACAGATCTTATTTAAATTCTTTTACTTTTAAAATAACATTATTAATGTATGTGTTACATTCTATTGTTTTCATGTGGTAAGGCAGCTTGGAAAGACTATAGTCTGAAAAACTGATCACATAAATAGAAAATAAAATACATTTTGCATGGCCATATTTGTAAGGCAATGTATCATCATTGGTACCTTGAAGAAAAAAAATGCTGAGACCTACAGAAAAGTATCTGCTATTCTAAAGTTCACCTTAATTCAAAGTTACTGCTGTCAGCTGATATGGCACAAGCGCATATGTGTAGCTTTGGCTTATGCAACTGTAGCAGGACTTTGATCTGTAAAACATATGATCCAAAGATAACAATCAGAAGGAATATTAGGCTTGGGAGAGTAGGAAGGTGTGTAGGTGGGTTAAGTTATTGCTTGTTTAGAGAAGCGTTCTAAGAATGTCTAAATATAAAAAACCAAACTAGGGCTAAGCATCAATCTAAAGAGTGGTGCAAGGGAAGAAACAAAATGTAGATTCATTTTGCAACATAATTTTTGGTTTACAAGCACATGGAGGATTGCATTTGAAGAGAGAAATGCTTTGGGTTACCTGCATTATAATGTGCAGAAAATGGTTTATTTACAGTGAGGAGAAACAGTGGAAAAGATTGTGTGATTTCAAATTTTATTACCGGATTTCCTTGCCTTTTATGTAACTGGTAGCTAAGGTTACCATCACAGCTTATAACATTGCTTTTTAAAAATAATTTGTTGCATAACCTGTTAAAAAAGGTTCCCCAACTATTCCATTACTGTTACTCTTCCTGATTTTCAAAAGGGCTTCAATATGTTGTTCCTTATGTAGTCTGTTGCTTTTTTTGTGACTTAAAACACACACACACACACACAAAGCAAAACCAAGAACAAAAAACAACCCCCCAAAACCAATAGTAAAGCCCTTACATAGCTGTTTTGATTCCAGACTGATTGTTCATCTCATGAATCCTCCTCAACAAAATGATGCCTTTCAGAGGCTTTTTAAACTACTGTACAAGTCCCATTATCTGGCTAGGAATGGTAGTCATGCTGGATGGAGATGAGGGAAGCTGCAGTGCCACCCAGCAGTTTAGAAAACTTTGCTTGAAACCATGCTTAACAGAACAATCCTCCATGCTTCTATTCAAATGCAAGTCCTGCTAAGCTCAG